CAAAATCTGTTGTCCAGTAGCTCAAAATGGTCATCATGATGATGATGATGTAGTTGTAGATGATAAAGATTGGACGGAACCGTCGTTGGCTTCCACTTCCGTTTAGTTTTTATTGTTTTCGCACCTCGTCTTCCGTTTGACGGCGCTCGGGTCGCGCTCGGTCGTCGGCCGCCGGCGGATATTCTACTTTACATAAGCGGCGTTTCCTACAATTTTCCCGGTCTTTGGACCTATTTATTTGTGTTTGCCGCTTTTGTTTTGCTAAGCGCATTCGCTTAGAGTCGAGAGTTAACAAATTGATTGATTGATCAAAAAACGGTTTTCACAATTTAACATTCCACTGAAACCCTCATTCCACCCCTTCCAGCGGAAACAGTCTTCAGAAGGGAAGATCAGCAATCAAATAAATTGTGATGCTCAGCGTACCCATCAGGAGCATGGCTTTGATCAGGTCCTCTGTGGGTCAGTGAGCAGGATGAGACTTAAAGATTTGTGGGGTAAAGTGGCATACGCACGCATTGAAAAATCCGTTGGGGGGCCAACCACTCGGTTTTTGCCGATTTGCTGCGGTCGCATGCCACGACAGTGAGCCCTATAGATGCGATCATAACGGGCCGCCTTGATCGGGTGCAAGGGTCGTTGGACCTTATCATCGGAATCGATCCACATGGTGGTATTGTTGCCCCACGCAACTTTTTTGGCTTGCGGCGCTGCAGGCTGGGCAAATACGTTACGAAAATTGGTTTGGGATCGTTGCAGCAGCTCCTCGGCCTCCTCCTGGCGTTCGGCATAGTTGTGGGGCATGATCGTCTCGTCCAGCGCTTGGACAATGGCCTGCTCGACGGCCAGCTTCTGATTGCATTCCGGCACAAAGGCCGATATCGACAGCTTCGACAAGCAGGTCATATATATGGCACTGGTCGACTTATATATCTGTACCGGCATAATGCTAGGAATAGACGTTCAAGATTTAGTATTTGATGAGTGGGGCTTAGGCTAAGTACCTCTTCAAAAAATTACTGTGTGGCTGCATTTTGGATTTGGATAGAAAACTAACGAAAAGTTTATAAAAGTAGAAAAAAACTATTTATCAAATTAAATTGCTGAAAGCTGAATATATAAATGCCTTTTCATAGCTGCCTATATGCTAGCCGATGGACCGAGAGCCTTTTAAGGTTCTCCAATGTCATCGGAATTACTTGAGCTGCTGCTCAATTGTGTGGACGGTCGGACATGGCTAGATCGACTCGGCTATTGATGCTGATCAAGAATATATATACTTTATGGGGTCGGAGATGCTTCCTTCTGCCTGTTACAAATACAATATACCCTTCTACCCATTTTTAATGGGTTCAGAATATAAAAATCTAGTAAATCATGAAAATGGATGTAGTTCAACGTTTCACAATAAAGCACAGATCTGTTTAGAAGGTGGCTTACCAATTCTAAGGTTATACGGTTATCCAATCCCTAACTGGGTTTACTAAAGGTTCAAACTGCGTATAAAATATGTGCGCCAGGAATCCTGGGCTGTGGGACCTACCCTCACAGCTCTGTGGATAGCTTGTGTCAATATGTTATTTGTAAAAATATTCGTGCGCTGCAAACAGCGTCAGCTGTGCCGTGTGGCATGTGGCATGTGGCAGGTCGTGGCTGTCTCTTGGAGGTTGTGGCCACGACATCTGTTTCATATTACAAGGTAGAGCTGCCGAAGGTACAAACAATGTGCTTGCCATGTTGTTGTTGTTGCTGCTGTTGTTGCTGTTGTTGCTGTTGTTGCTACTGGCCCATTTGTCTCACTTCCTTTACCTTTCAGGCCGGCGCTGTGTGCGCACAAACAACATCCCGGATGCTCAACTAAAGAGAGAATTAAAAACAGAAAACAGACAAATTTATAAAACTGCACTAAATGCAAAGTTCCAAAGTTACAACAGCAGCAGCAGCAGCAGCAGCGACAATGAGCCGCATACAGGAAGAGACAGCGCACATGCTTTTTGTATCTGTATCTGTAAATGTATCTGTATCTGCATCTGTGTGCGGGTATCTGTATCTGTGGCTGTTCATTCATAGAAAAACCAAACCAACGAGCGGATGCACGGGCGGATGAAGCGCTTGAATCAGCATCGCCCTCTCCCTCTCTCTATATCTCTTGCCTCTCCCTCTCTCTGCCTTTCTCTCTGTGTACCTATAGAGCCCTATCTCTACGTGCGGTTTCTATTTGGCTACCGCTGCTGATTATCATGCCTCGTTATTGTTATTGTCATAATTGTTCAACTATTATTTGCAAAAAAAAAAAAAAAAGAAAATATTAAACTTAAAAAAAAAATAGGGGGAAAGAGCTAAAGTGTTCAATTATGAGAACAAGCCCCAGCTTTGGTTTACCCAACTGCCCAATATTATTTGCTTCGCAATTAACAACTGCCAAGTCCAGTAAAGGAATACAATATTGAAGAGAACGCGGCAGCTCCCTGGGCCGTAGACATAAATCACGCGGCGCTCTAAAAATAAACATTATGGGTGATCTACCGCCTGGCATCGACTTGTACAAATGTTAACATTAACTTCTTGGCCAACAATAACAAAAAGTTTATTGCACTTCCATTGAGTTTGGTTGATTTTCTTGAACTCTGCAACAGCCGCTTCAGAGACCATTTCTCGTTTCTCGTTTAACCTTAATGATGTGCTAATTGGGCAACGTATTCAACATGTCAATGCGTCTCTTCCTCTTTGGTTTCTATATGGTTCCATTCGAAATTGTGAAAGACATAAACAGCACATAAACACACAAACTAAGTAGACGCAAGTTGTGCGCATTCATTTCAAATTGTTTAGAAAGTGGCCAAGAAGATGCTCTAAAGATTTACTCTAGCCATGAGAATTTTATTAAGACGCTTATCCATCACAGAGACAAGTCTTTAATCTTCTCCAAATGCCTTGAGTGGAAAATTTAGCGTGAACTGAGCAGCTCCAATCTTCGGTAAATACCTGTAAATATCAGTTGGGTCCGGAAATGGAAGCTTTTCTTTAGTTATACTTTTGCATTTTTTATCGTACATTCTTTTATGCTCTGATAACGCATATCTCGAGCGCCTGTCTACAGCTTTATAGCTCGGCAATGTCTGTAGAATATCTAGACATGTTGACAGTTATCACCTGCTAATTGCATTATTTAATTATCATGATATACCTGTTCTTAATGGTAAGCAAATAAACCTTCTTGCTTATGCAGATTATTATTTAAACACTTCAAGCTGTCTACATTATATATAATTTCGCATTTGTGAACACGATTATATTAAGTTTCTTATTATAATCGCTTTATTTCTTGTGCCATGTAAGTATGCCAGCCGAAGATCAAGATTAAAAAGATTAAAAGACGTTTCCCAATCGTAACTCAATCCCAATCTTCTACAAATATATTTTATATGATCTAAACCAATTTTGTAAATGATCCAATAAGATATTACACTTGTTCTACGATCTAGACTGTTTTCAAGATCTTGGACAATACCTATCAAATTCTTGTCTAGCAAAAGTTCTCTCATTAAGAATTGTTCCTAAAATAGCTCGGCATTTTATATTATATAGCCCTTCCCCTTTCACTTACTCTAGGGAACAACTCGGGGTTGGGAGAAATACTCTTTCACTTTGTTTTACATATTTCAAGAACTTTTCGCCACTTCCGTAAATACATTCATATCAAGAACTTCCGTTTTTAGTTAGATTTCATTTCATAAAATTTCATTTTATATTTTCATTAGATGCAACTTATACGACTAATAGGACAGCATTTGAAGTGTGCCCCGCGGTGGGCCGCACTTGAGCAGGCGCAGGCGGGGCATGCTTCGACCACTTAAGCGAATAAACAAATGCATTTAGGTCTAAGACTTAAGACTAGGAGCACTAGCGACTAGTTAGGTCTAAGTGAGCTATATAAAGCATAGGTGCTATATGTATATACTATGTATATGTACAACCTGGTTAGGCTATTACGCACGGGTGTTCTCGGCGAGCACACCCTAGGAGAGCAGCGCCATGGCGCGGGCGAGGCGCACACGGAAATCACGATAGAGCATCTTGCCGCCGACGGGCACACGACACAGATACATGTCCAGACTCATCAGGCAGAGGGCTTTGCCGTTCATTGGGAACTTCTGTGGCAGCTCGGGCGTCACCTCGAGGCCCTCGGAGACGGCCATGCTGATCAGCCATTTCCAGACATCGGCGCGTGTCCAGTCTCGCGGATCCACGGGCAGCCCATCGGAGCCTATGGGATGGTGCAGGCTGGTGTTGTTGTTCATGTTGTTGTGCTGGCTGTTGCCCGTGGCAATGCTGTTGTTGTTGTTGATATCTTCGCTGAGCACTGTGACGCCGCCGCGACACTTGTCCAGCATTTGGTATGGATGATGACGCTTCATGGCAGCTGCCGCATTGCTCGCCCACAGCTGCTGCAGCTGCTCCTGGCCGGCATTGACTTGCGACAAGTCCAGAGGCGGCACGCGTCCGGCGTATTTCGGGTAACTGGCCTCCACTTGCATTGTGCACTTGCCTCAAACAATCAGCTGTAATGACAGATAGAAATGACGCCGATTAATGGAAGTGAATCATTAGCTGAGAGTGGGGGCATATACATATGACTGTGTGTGTATATGCATGGGCAGAATTCAAGTGCCGGAAATGCTTTCACAAGCAGACAATTGTTTAATCGCGTCAACGGCAACAATAATACGCATACGCCGCATTGTACGTGCAATAATCAAATAAAAAGCCTTTTAGTTTAGTCACCAGGTTTGGTAAAGCTTATTCGCATAACACAGTCAAATAATCAGCAGTGAAAACTAAGAAACGTTTTTTTTAGTTGTAAATATTATCAATCTATAAAAATGTCTTTAGATTTTCTTTAACATAAAGCAGCTATAACATAACAAACATCAACTGTTATACAGCTGGTATGTAGGTCACTCACTTAACAGCGCTGTTAAGTAAGAGTATTCGAATTTCGCCGTGTCGCCGTGGTCTGCTCGTTTCTGTTGTTATGCTTTGAATGATATTTTGTTATTGTAGCGCAATATTAAATCTGACCTTGTTGCCATCGAAAAAAATGGGACGCACGGTTGCGGAGCGGGGCGGGTCACACGCGAAAGGAAGCGCTGAATAATCATTACGCTGCTGTCATATCGATAACAACAACAACAACAGCCGCAGCAGCAGCAGCAATGAGACGACACTAACAGTAGCCGTAGCAGCAGCAGCAACAACAATCGAGTGTTAGCCATGGTCACATTTAAATAAATGGCCCACATTTGTATCGCTGACTATTAGCTGATGGCTCAGTGGTTTGCTCAATTGTTGGCTGACATAGAAAGGCAAGTGCCAAACCGGAATGGCATCGATTACGATAACAATCAGAAGCGGAAACAATTAGCAAACGGGCGACGGTGACGACGACTACGACGACGGCGGCGAATTGGCAGCTTGCGAATATGGCGAGCAAAACAAAAGCGAAAAACCAAAAGACAGCCAGCTCACACACAGCTTGGGCAATCAGAATGGCAATGCGAACAACGGGCATGGAAATGAAAATGGCAGTGAGAAGCAAAACATCCGCCGCCGCAAAGCCAAAGCCAAACTTAAAAGGTGTGTGTGTGTGTGTGTAAGGCAACGGAAGCCGCGGGCGGTGCGGCAACCGTCATCTGTGATTTCGTTTCACACAGTGTACGAAAAAGTGGGGAAGCCAATTGTGGAAGAACCCTTAAGTTTAGCCCATTTGTCATTTGCGTGCGTTAATAGTTTTCCGGAACTCGTTTCAAGTGCTTCCGTCCAAGGAAGTGCGTAAAACCAAGCCAAGAATCCGTCAAGGAATCGAATTCGTATGAAGCCGCAATTTTAATTATACCTGTGTGTGTGTGTGAGTGTGCCCAGTTCATTGCCAGCAGCGCGTTATTTCCCACGAACACCGAATTCGACGGGCGTAAGCAAATGAAATGAATCAACAAATATGAAAAAAACAGAAAACTCTTTTCGCTGTTCTCTTTGTTTGCTCGCCAGGAAGCCACACACAATGCCCCGCTTGGAAGCTGCCACAAGAGCCACTTGTTGAGGTATGTACACATGTGTATATGTATGTTTGTGTGCTGTCTGGGGGAAATGCTGAGCAAACTAAGTTATTAACATATAAATTGGTCGCTCTGTAGCATAAGCCATGGCCAGAACGGTGTTGCCTGAGATTTAAGCGATGCCAACAAAAATGTAGCCCAGCCTACGCCTTGATAAAAGCTATCAGCATGTGTGTGACTCAACTGCAGCGGATGCCATAAACATGCCCAAGTTTGTCCAAGACGAGGCCTAACAGCACACGCTATGTTAGGCATGTGATTAGCTTACAGGTTCGATAAGCATTTCGATAAACGATAAACATTTGCATTTGAAATGTGACCGGCCGCAGTTCGGGCGGTCCGCACAGCGGGCGCGCTTAATTAGAGAATTATAACAGTTTGAATTTTATGTGAGACCACCCCGTGGGGCGACTTCCGCGAGCAAATTCACGAAGTTGCGCCCACAGCGAAGTGAAGGCGTGTGAAATGTTCAAAGATTAAGTGGCCAATAAAGCTGTCAGCAGCTGAAGCAGTTTCTGTGGGCGGAGCAAGGATCAAGACCAGACATCAATTGCCCAAAAGGTAAAAATTGTGTGTGTGTGTGTGGCACATGTCTGTTGCGCTTCCGTCGCGACAAGGGCAACATCAATAGCTTAATCATTAACCCACGCAAGCTCCAGCGATCGTTCTGTCTGCCTGTCTATCTGACTGATTGTTTTTTGTTTTTTTTTTTGTTTTGTTGTATTTTGTCAACATTGGCATTGGCATTCGTTTGGTTTGGCTACACACAAACCGCGTGCTGAGCACGCGCCCAATACAGCAAATTGTTGTCGTGGTTGCCCTTAGCCCAGGGTCTTGTGCTTCGGGGTCTGTGCCTGGGTAGGAAATGGTTTTCTGTTACTAGTTGTTGCTGTCCGGGTGTGAGTGTGTGTGTGTGTGTGTGTGTGTCGGAGTCAATGACAGGAAGTCTGTGCAATGTGCGCATATCCGCCTCCGCCCGCGCACAGGATGCACAAAAGGAAACTCTGACACACACAGACAGACACACAGCAAATGTGAGATACGACAACGAATACAAATACAAATGCATTTGCGCCAGTTTTAATTACGTTGACGTCTGCACTTTGCACTGTCGCATGTTGTTGTTCTTCTTGTTGCTGCTACTTAGTGGCAGCTACTATATAAACACTGACACACACAGGCGTCTCTTCTTTGAGTGTGCACAGACAGCAGCAGCAGCAACAACAACAACAACAACAACAACAACGAAAAAAAGACGAAACGTAAAATCGTAATTTGAAGTTCGTAAAAATGACGCGTTTCCTGTCATTTGGCGAGCACTTTAAGTGCGTAATTTGCTCCCCACACACACTGACACACACACACACACACACACGTATACACTTAAGTCTTTGCTGTGTATTTGTGTCGGTTGACGCCTCCCATCTTTATCTGCAGGTCGCTTCCGTTTTTGAAGAACTCATCTACCGCGAACTTTGCCGGGCATCACAAACTTTTGCTCACTTTCGCATACAGATTTTCTATACCCTGTAAAACGATTTGCACGTGCCATGCATGACAGGAAAGCCAGCTATGTCACAGTATACCTATAACAGATGTAGCTATAAGTATTTCGTAAATTTCGAATCTTTACTTAGCCTAATTAACAAATCTCAGTTTTTTAGTTAAAAGTTTTGGTTGGCTTTCAAATACTTCTCGCTAGCGCTATGTTGTTTTACAGGGTATTTTCGTAGTCGCAATCGTGGCAGATGTCTTCTCTAGTTGATTTTGTTTGGCTTACATATCAAATGTCTGACAAATAGAAAACACAGCGACTATGTAAATTTGCGGGCTGCCATTAATTTGATTACAATTTGAAACTGTTTTTGCTCTGCGCGCACGAATGTATCTAGCAGATACGTGTATCTCATAGATACAATTGCGCACGTCCAAATTATGCGCTTCCTCCTAAGTCAATTCACTTTCTTCTCTACAATAAAGTTGAATTTCCAACTGAAGAGTTTTTCTTTTTGCTTTCTGAGGTCTAATCATGTGGAAATGGCCGGTGGGCGGTCCAGGCACATATTTATATCTTATTGTCTATTAAACTATTAGATTAATTTATTTAAGATTATAAACAGCTGCTTCTGGCTTGTTTGCTTGGCTGCAATTCAAGGCAAATAAACTTGCTCATTCAATAACAAATATTTTACAGAGTGCATACAACAACAACAACAACAACAACTACTATAGACAGCGGCAGACGACAGATGATAATCTGCTGAATTTTGTTAAAAATAAACATTTTTGCGAGCGAAGCAACAATAACAACCGGATTCCCACATGTGTGTATTTCTTGTGACGTATGTGTGTGTGTGTGTGTGTGTGTGTATATATGTTTGCTGATATTACAAATCATGTAACGCTGTCGCAGCGGCGTCTGCCTGACGTCTGCAAAAGCTGGCGCTGCAGCATGGTGGAGCGGGGGCGTCTAGAGGTAACTAGGGGTTGGGGCAGAGCCGGAGCAGGCATTGGGGGATGGGGCATGGCATGCGGGAACTGCGCTCATCGCATGGCCATTCATCATTTTCATGAGGGCGCAGTTGATGGACGGATGTGTAACGACTTTTCCTCGTTACAAAAATAAAAAGCAAACGGCGCCAAATGCATTTCGCCTGGGGCTAGTCGGGTCGGCTGTGGGCCGGTAAATATTTAGTTGGAAATTAAATAAAAGCAGAGCCCGTCAAATGCTTTGATGATGACGAAGCTGCTGATGTGGCCCTCGTCTGCTCCAACGCTGTCTGCACATTGACAGCATCAGGCGCTGTCTTTTCACGCCCCACACGTGTCGCGGGCAATGAAGCGGGACAGCCGACTGGCAGGAGGATGCGCCCTGGCACGACACGCGCCATAAACAGACGCAGTCTAACAAGCAGCCGCAGCGACTACAACTCAGGTGGGTTAGCCTTCAAAATAAACAGATTAGAAAATTGTTGCCCGAAGATTGAATACACTTTCTTTCTTACAAGGGCTTTATAGAAGCCTTATAGTATAGTAATACGATCTGAGACGGATATCATGGGGGGAAACCTGAAGCTTGTAAATGCTGAGCTTAGTCCAAATATCTTGAAAAACAGAAACAAACACGGCACAAAATTTACTATTCAGCCAATTCTTCCTATATTTAATATATATTTAATGATATTTTATGTGCTTCAGAGGCAAATAGAGTTCGTAAGAAACAAGCAGAGAAATATGGCAATGCATTAAATGCTTAGAGACTAGTTTCCATATGAAGACCGACAGGCATGACTATATAGACTCGGCTGCTGATACTGATCAACAATTTGTATATTTGAGGGAGTTTTTTCTATGAACTGCATACTTAGAGACTGTTTGATAATGCCCTCTGCGAGGGTATAGAAAGAGACGCAGCCGGAAACGCGAGCAAGAGCTTATCAAGAGGCAACGAAAATTGATAGGGGCTTTACCTGGTACTATCTAAGAAATTGCATTTAAAGAGTCTAGTATGCTATGTCATGGGTTTGTTATTTCCTCTAGTGGGTCAGCGGCGGGCTGAATCAGCCTGGGGAGAGAACGAGAGAGCCAGAGAGAGAGAGAGAGGGAGAGCGTGCGCGCGACTGCAACAGAATTTAATTAAGTGATTGTCGTTGTTGTTGTTGTTGTTGTTGTTGTTGTTCTTGTTGTGTGGCCAGGTGCGTTTTTGATATGTGTGGCAGCAGCTGCAAAGATTACAAAGAGCCGACTGCCACAATAGTTGTTCCAGCTGAGAAAGTTCTCATGCGCTGCCGACTTGGCCACATCCTTTGCGCATGCGCGCGCATTCACAATATTCATGCGGGCTAACAAAGCGCCCAAAATGCATTTAATATCGTGCTCTCTCACTCTGATGCTCCCACCCTCTCTCTCTGTCCGTCTCTCTGTTTCGCTTGACTGTCTCAAGTTGATTCTTCTGTTTCGGTTTTTGTTTTGCAGCTGCCGTCTTGGCATTTCGAGTGTGTCGCTTTGTTTTGTGGTTTCTCTCTGCGGTTCTCTGCCCCGCCTGAGCCGCAACTTGGCCCGGTCTGTTGCCAGTTATTCTCTTGACAATTTCTGTTGTTAGGTTTTCATAACCATAAATTCGGTCATGGCAACTGCACATTGAGTCTAAGCTGCACAAAACCGCGCACAGTCTCTGAAAGGGCCAACAGCGAACCTGGCTTATAACTGGACTTGAAGTGTGCACCAAGAATTGGCAACAATGCGCAAAAAGATTGTGCGATATCTTTATTATTTAAACTATTTAAACTAAAGCAAGTCCGCTTATGTGCTGCGCCTTTTGTAATACAGCTCAGCTCAGCTTAACTGTGGTTCTACTATAAACAAAGTGCTTGAATTTCAGGTATAATAACGGAAGAACCTTGTGTGAGCCACTTTTTATGAGAAACTATATTCTGTAGTCTTACGGTTATAATAATCAAATCAAAAGCACCTCATGTCCTAATCAGCTGAGGAAGAGTAAAAGAAAGTCGGCTGCAGTATTCCAACTCATTTTTATTGGATCGAATTGCCCTTATATCTTATATACCCGCCCAATTTCGATTGGCACAGAGTTTTAACAGCCTCTCCTTCAACTTGTGCTCTTGAAAACGCTTTTGTAGCACACGATCCTAATTCAAGGTAACGTTGATTGTCAAGTCTCGAGCTGACCTATAGCTGTGCCATATAATATTCATAAATATCGCATGGCTTTGGCAGCGCTCGCACTTTCAATTTTATACAAATCGTTTTTTTTTATTGTTTTCTGTATCTGTTAAATGTTGCGCTTATGTTAATTGAAATGGTCTTTCAGCTGGCTTACGGGCATGCATGTGTGTGTATATACACAGTCATTACGAAGCACCTTTTAGAGGTCAATTAGCAAGTCACAAAAAGCAGCGACAGACAGAGAGAGAGGGAGAGAGAAATAACGAAACATAGTACAAGGCAAAAGGCATAAAATAAATTGTCCGATTGAGCGCATTCCTCAACATGTCAAACGAGCCGTTTAAAGTTTAAACAACCTATAACAACAAAAATACTTCAACAACAAATTTGTTTTTGTTTTTAATGATAGCCAAACTTGGCAGTTGATGAGCGCCAGAGCTGGACTTGGCTTCGGTTAGGGTCTACGAAATGTTTCGTATTACCTTATAGATGCTGCTTACCTCGAGTCGAAAGTTAATCCAAAAGTTGGCGCTGTGTTGAGTTGTTGTTGCCGATTTTCAAAGTGACGACAATATCCGTTTTAATATATATCTGCTCTCTCTCTCTCTCTATATATATATATGCGAATATATACGTGCTTGTTTGCAATTTGCTTATGAATTTCTTTTATTTGCGTTTTGTTTATGGAACTTCCTGCGCGGAATTGCCAATGCAATTTCAGTTGTCGTTCGTATTTTTAATAAATATATAAATATGCATATATATATCTGTATATTGGGGTGTTGTTGTTGTTTTTCGCGAAAATAGAAACTGCACTTGTTTTCGCTTTCGCTTAAGCTGTTTATTTTTTTTTTTGTTAGTTTGTCTCTGCGCTCTCTCCCAATACGATTTTCACTAGTGCACGGCTTCTGGCAGCTGGAGGCACACTTAGATATTTGTGTGCGAATTGCGAATTTCACAATTTGCAAAAATGTATCTCACAGTTAGAAGCGGCAAGCGGCAACAATAATACGCGCTCTGAACTACTTTTCTATGTGCGCTTGGCTCGGGTTTCGAAAGTTTGTTTTTTTTCTTCTTTTTTTGTTGTGTTTTTTAATTTTATTTGTTGTTGCTTTATTTTCAAATTGTTGCAACGTTTTCAGCTTCAAGTTTCTTCTTATTATTTTTTTGTTCACTTAACACAAAATTCCAGCTTGCAGCTGCAATTCGCTTTTGTTGTTGTTGTTATTGCGTACGAGTATCTGCGTATTTCAGCAAGCGCAACACAAGTATCTTGTATCTTGTATCTGTAGCTGTGTGTATCTGCGTTCTGTGCACGCGCACTTCACGTTCTCAACTGATTGCGATCGTGCCCATGCAGCGGGTTTTGTTGCCTCAGCCAATCTCACGCTCTCTCTCTCTCAGTCACTCCTCTCTCTCTTTTGCACTATCAGATAACCGCTCTCACACGCTCTCTCGGCCGACTGCGAGCGGCGCTCTCTGTTACACTGACAAAAATTGGGTTTACCTTTCAAGAACTTAGACACTAAAATCATAAAAATTGAGAGTAGAACTGGGAAAATGTCAATTTTATTTATAAATTATTTTCCAACACACAATCCTTATGATAATATATATTTTATATAGCATATAAATTTTATTTAATTTTTGTATTTTATGTGGTTGATTCTCGATTTTCTGTGTTTTTTTTTTAGAATTAATCTTTACAGCTCTTTCGATAATACGCTTACCTGACACATTTTCAGATGCTCTTTGTTTGAAAAGGGCCAAAAACTAATCGGTTTTTCATTCATGAAATGTAGAGCCCGCATTGTCGAGCATCAAATCGATTAACTCATGGATTTAAGGGGTAGGTCGAACGTTTTTGCTAAAGAATGTATTCAGAACTGTCGCAAGTGAGCATATCTCAATTGAGATACAGCTGTTCCTGGTTTTTTAGATTTAAGATACTTTTTATGAATGCTAACAATACAATAATAATAACAGTGGTAATATTGATAATAATAATAGAGAAAACAATGATAATAACTACAAAAATATAATCATCAACAATAACACAAATCGTTATAATAATATAAGTCATAATATTCACATCATATTAGAATTGTTCTCAGTATTCTGCATGCTTATTATTTTCATTACAATTATTATTAGTAATTTTGTAGTTATTATTATTATTATTATTATTATTATTATATTTATTATCATTCGTTTTAATTAAATTATTAATATAACGTAATGACAATAACAATTATAATGATAATAATAAGCAATACTGAGAAAAAGCATAATATGATCTGATAAAGCATACTTTAAAATACTTTCCATTTGCTAATCGTTAAATATCAATTACATATTCAACACCATTTTCCATATCATTGCCTCCACCCTCTCTCTCGCACTTATCATTTCGAATATGTATATATATTGATATATTCAAAATTGGAACCTTTTTTTGACTGGGTTGGCACCATTTCAACAATATATTGCTCTTTTCTTGACTTTTCCTCTTCCTCACACGTTGACAGGCGTCAATTAATCAAGTCGCACTTAATTTTCATTGAAATATCTTTTGTACATATTAATAAACAATTCCGTGGGGGCAATGCCAACAATTTCAGTGGCCATCACGTGCCACCGGGGGGCACATGCGAGCCATAGTCGAGTATGTGTGTGTGCGTGTGTGTGTGTTGTGTGTTGTGTGTTGACTAATTACGCTGCCTAGACGACGAATTGTAATTACAGGAAATCCTTTTGCCTACACAGCTAGAATGAATGCGCGCTTTGCGGTGTCGACTTCCTTTTCAAACTGACAGCCAAAAAAAAAAAACAGGATCATTTATTTGACTGACCGGGGAAGGGGAGAAGGGAGATCCTGCAGCATGTGTTGGGTCTGTGCGTTAGCATATGGCTGCCAGCTAAGTGCCAGAATCCTTTCATCAATTTATAGACAAGCGTGAAGTGGAATACTCGAATTACGCAGCCTTTTGGCTTGCAGTTCAATTCATTGGAATACCCAGAACTGAGAGAGAGAGAGAGAGAGAAACGCGCCCCCGAGCCTTGCCCCTTGGTGTTGCACAAGGCACGAGGCGTTTGTTGCAAGCAACCACAGGACGCGCGTCCTGTGCGTGAGTTCAAATTGCAGCAGCAGCTGCTGTTGCAGCAGGCAGTTCCACTGAAATTATCTTAACAGAGCCTGCGCAATTATTGCTATTGGGTTTTCACTTAAGATTGCACCTTTGTCTCTGTAAATGTATCTGCATCTGTTGAATGTATCTGTATCTGTAGCTACATCTCTAGCTGCAACTGCTGTCTGGCTTCGCTGCTAACCGTCTCGTCCTGTCGCCGCCTGCTTTGATGCCTGCTCGCATTTCGCTGAGCAAGACAGTAGAGAGGGAGAGCAAAGGAGAGCGAGCTCTACTTATTGTGCCTCTGCATCTAATGGCTTGTTTATCGCTCGCATTGATCGCAGACCAAATAAATTAAGTGCTTTAATTGGCCGCCTAATTGATAGCGGCGTCTCTTGGCCTAATGTGGCACAGCAGACAGCAGCCAGCAGACAGCAGCGTTGCATGAACCGATCCTACTTCTCCATATGAGCCGATTTGTTGTTTGAGCTGCACACATCCTGCCGGCCAAGCAGCTACAGTTAATCCTCCTAGGCTGGGCATCCTGTCCAGCTGCCGTGCCTCCAATTGCAATTGCCATTGTTTTCGGCCCACACAATGCATGTAAATGCCTCTCGCTCCGGCTCACACATGATAAGCATCGACAGGAAGCCAGACCGGGTGGATTGGCCAACAAAGGATGTTTGCTTAGGCTCAGCAACTAATATCGCAGCCACGTACGTGACTTTGTATGGCTTGTGCGTTAATATTCAGCATATATATAGCTCTTACCATATTTTCTATATTATTTCTCGCTATTTGCTTAGCCTGTTTATTTTCAATTACAGGTAACTCTGTGCTGGTGCATAATTCGAATAAATGCGCAAGGCAAAAGGAAGTAAGCGCTTGACACGAACCCACAAACTCTAGTCGCGGTTGCCCAACTCGCAGATATCCCTCACTCGGCTGCGTGCTCTAAACATAGCAAGATAACTTCTGTGTTTCGTGTTAAATAAATAAATTTTGTTAGAAAAATAAATTGATGTGAATAGTGCCGCGTCCTGAGAAGACATTTGAATGTAAGTAAATGCCACAATTTATTAAGATTTATTTTTTATTATTGCAATCCTTCATAGAATGGGCGCACATATAATAAAACACCATCTTGGTCTTTATTGCACTCCCGTTCTTATAAATTTCTGGATATTCAAAATTATCGACTGTAAACGAAGAAGGCTTACTCAGTCTATGGTTATTACAGGGTATTACAGTCTATTTGGGCTATTACAAATAAATAATATTATTACTAATGGCCGTGGCAGGGACATATGCCACTGATATATCAATCGGTATCTATCGATTGTAAATAAAGGAGGATAGCTTACGATAAGAAAGAATCAACATTGCCAACAAGATGTCTCTGCCACATAAACCTATACAACTTCATTAGACCCCTTTTTCAACATACTCTATGGTAGGGTATTAATAATAAATTATATAATTTCCAATGGCTGGTGTTAGGGGAATCTGCTACCCAAATCTCAATCGATATTTATCGATTGTTTGTAAACGAAGAAAGCTTAGAAAGATTAGAAATCTAAGCGGATTTGCTGTCTCCGCCTTTGAAAGATTGCCGGGACTAAGAATATATACAAAATGGTGCATGCTTGTCGCATGCGCTTATACGACTTCATTATACCCTATTTTTAACCCTGTCTAGGGCTAGAGTGTATTTCAAACATTATATAATTTCTAATGGGATTTTTTCAACCAGAAATGTTACAGCTGGCAATGGCAGGGGCGTGTGCCGCCCATATATCAAGTTCCAAATATAGGGAGCGAGCATTTTAAGGGAAAACCCATCGAGGCAGCGCACTCGCCGTTAATCAAATGTTATCATAAGTACCAAATGTTCCTGGTGGTGTCTTCCTATATATAGCTATATATATACATATATATATACCAAATATATGACTGCAGCAGCCACCCTCGCCTAAACGATTAATAGGCCCAGGCCAGGCATTAAAACTGCACCAAAATATATACACAGAAAAGTGAATTTTATGATCTTCAGTGTTTGGCTAGAGGGGGAAATACCCAGCCTCAGCATAGCAGCTAATCCTAGGCAGGCTCGTGGACTCAGTTTTATTGGCACTTTCCCGAACTATAAATCAATAAACAGATGTGTCGTAAAGTTTTCAGCCAGAAATACCAAGTTGGGTGTGAGGGAGTGCGTGTTGGTTGGGGATTCTTGTAATTTCACTATCTTCGAGACGAGTTTTGAAAACTTGCGGTTACTTCTTGGCTCGTCATAAATGAACGTGGAATCGTTTGTCATCTTGTGCTGGCAGCTAACTCCGCACATAAAAAACGATCATTAACACCAATTTTTTGTGGATCTGCGGATCCCAGTTTGGAGCGCAGAACGTCAAATGTTTAAATCAATTGCTTCACAAAACGAGACGAGGTAACCGTAAAAGCAAAAAATATCAAATAAAGCTGAAAACGCGCGCTCGTAAAACCAAAACAACAGATTCCGCAGCCATTCAAATGCCACACACAAAACAAAAACGGAGAAGCCCCCTAGTACTACCAGAAGAAGATCAGATAGAAGAAGACATAGAGCAAGAGAGAGAGAGAGAGAGAGAGAGAGAGGGGGAGATGGTACTAGACAGAGATGGCGAGTGCTCGTGGGCACAATGGGAAACAAGCCGCACAGACTTCCGCTTTCATTTCATAAATTCGGATTAAGGCATTTTCAAATGATAACAATGAAAAATAAAAACCTTAAGAACTGTAGAAATGCGCCGTGAATCTGATTAACGGCAACTACAACGACTCGGAAATGTGTCACGTAAATGGTTTGTTTCCCAAGTAAACCCACAAAATGCCCAAGAACAATCATCAGCGACAACAACAACAACAACAACAGCAACAACAACGACAACAACAAAGGCAAAGCTCACAAATTGCTGTAAAAAGAGCAGATCTCGGCGAGAACTGAGCATCCATTGTTGGGCAATTGTCGCCCATGTAAATATAAATGGATATACCTGGACTCAACTGAGCTGTTGAAGCTTATCGAATTACGAAATGCTGCCAGCTGAACTTTTGCGGAAGAGCCTGCCAGCAGATAACAGATAAGAGTTACCTGAAGTGTGATCTTCAATGCAAGCAGGTGAGGTGCGAACTTTGCACCAGCCAGGTCAGGCTACTCTAACTACAAGTGATATATTTATTTGATTAATTGTCTAAGCTCGTGTGTTATGTGATATTCGTATTCGTATCCAGCGTGAACTAAAAATCTAGATAGAAACTGCTTTGATCGTAACATATATGTATAAATCGAGAAATATGTATGCGATCGCCCTCAGTTAAATGTATATTCCAACGTTTCATGTTTGTTTCACCTGAGTAGAAGCCAAGTTCAACAAATCGATATACGAACACGTTTCGCAAACATTTGCTCAAATTCGAGGCAAACATCGAACAATTGCACTTCCTGCACAAACGCATCCTGTATTACTTACAGCACATGGGCTCAAGCCGGTCCTGGGCTGGGCTGGGACGGGACGGGACGGGTCCAAGGGGCATTCATATCATCTGTTGCTGCGTGGCCCGACAAATTTTACGAATGATGAGCGGAAACGCTGCGGAGGCGCGTACTTTGTACACAAACAGAGAATCCAAAGAGTGTGTGTGTGAGAGAGAGAGAGAGAGACAGAGAGAGAGAGAGGGAGAGAGAGGGCAGATTGTAAAAACAAATGTTGGCAAACAACAAAAACAAGGAAAAGGATGTCCTGCTGCCGCTTAGCGGCATCAACGAGTGTGGAAAAGTGCGTTCTGTAGCTGCAATTAACATTTTCCGCTAGCTGCTAGCTGCTGGCCGCACAGCAGGACATGTGGCCAGGAGGCAATTAGATGCTCGTCCCGCAGTGTGAAATGCAGCGCAGGAAGCAGCTCGACGCGCCCATTGTGCGCTCACGTCCGAATGGGCCATTGGGCCACGGTACAGGTACAGGTTCCGGTACCTTTTGTCCGGTACTCGCTTCCAAAATATTGTTGGTGATTAGTGACTTTGCGCCTGGTCGCATTCCAAATGGAATGGAGAATAATAAGGAAACGCCTGTGGCGTTAATTGTTTGTCCTGTAGCTGTGGCCCGTTTGATTTGCGCCGCTAACAGAAGAAGTTAATCTGGGCCAACGGAAACGGAAGCGGAAGCTGCAAATGCAAAAAATCCTTTAGCTGTTACACATGTCAAAAAACAACAAACCAAATAAGATCACTTTTACCAGCAAGAAATACGATTTAAATCCGGAAATCAATGAAACAATTGAGTTTGCATTTTACCGGTTTTATTATATATATATATATTGATCTATAGCTTAATTGAAAGTCGACGGAAATTTTGCTTTGAAAACTAAACCACCACGCGGCCGAACAAAATTATGCATTATATGTTCGATATAAGTAGATGGATTAGTACTATATACGATCTACACAATGCGTAATTTGTGCACTCAGTGCCAAAACTGTAAATTGGAACGACATCGACTGCATGGCTTGGACCCGCATAGATCATGCAGGGCATTCGATATGTGCTCCTCACTGTGTGGCCGCTCGTGGAGTGTGGCCCCCGCCGCTGTGCGCACCAGACTACGGCGTACACACTCGCCGTTGCGCCGGAGCGTATAGTTGATGGGGAACTGCAGCATGCCGGGTCGATAGTGGGCCACGGGCTGTAGACCATGAATACAGTTGCCCGTGGGTCTGGCCGCCTGGCTGTTCATGCGTCGCCCTGTAAAGGCGGCAAAGCAGCCGCATGGCGTCCGATTTGTGGCATCACCAGCGCCAAAGCGATCCTGTTGCTTGCTGCAACAGCGGCAATATTTTTGCCCGTTGCCGCCTGGCGACTTGGAGCGTCCATTTGGTCTGTCATGGCTAGCCGTTGGTTGCTTCGAGCGGCCACTTTGGCCCGACGACGACTCGGCGCCTCCCGGACCGCCTGACTGCTGGTTGCGTCCTCCCGTTCCAGGGTTGCCAGGAAGCCCTCTGTTGCGTCCGCCCAATCTACCCTGCCGCTGATTGGATCGACTGGGTGCACTTATGTTGCTCGTCATCGAGCTACTGCAGGTGGCTTGACAGCCTGGAACACAACTGGACTTGTGCTCTGTCGAGCGTGAGCCCGCACAGCAGTTCACACATTTGCCGCCGCGCTCAAGCCCTTGGGAGCCACAGGGAGCCGTACAGTTGGGAACGCAGCTTCCGTTATAGCCTGCCGAGCCGGAGTAGCCGTTGTTGCGGCCAGTTAATTTGTTGCAGCCACTGCGACAGGCTGTGCTGCAGGGACTTGAATGCTTGAACTTGCATATGGCCTGCTCTGAGTCGGGCAGAAAGAAGTTCGAATTATTAAGTTGACGTGGAACGTGTCTGGTTCTATATTTATCCTTTGGTTGCCCTTTGGTCCTCTCCTTGTTATAGCTCTTGGATTTCTCCTTAGACTTTTTCTTTTCCTTCTCCTTCTCCTTATGCTGAGCTGAGGTTTTTGTGTTTGACGATTTAGCAGATACGCCGGTGTTAGATGCGCTTCGGGAACGGGGCGACTTGCGGTCCTTGCCACCATGCTTTGTCTTTTTCTCCTTTTGGGCTGTTGGTTGCCTGACATAATTGCTCAGGAACATCTCGAGGGCCTGTGCGATGAGACAAATAAGCCTTTCGCTATTTTCGGAACTGTTTCTGCAGAATTCGCAATTGCAGGTACATCCAGGTCCAGAAAAGCCACTCACATCGTCTCGATCAGCCGTGGAAGCGTAGCTATTGTTATCCACATTGACAGGCCCGTTCTTTCGACGCATACCTGTGCAGCTAGGAGGACTTGGACTTTCACCTGAAGCAGTCATTTAATTATGCGCGTGCTTAAGACATTTGCAAAAATGTTAAGTGCAACTTACGCGGGTCGCGTTGCCCAGGACGAGCATTGCAGAAACCTGAATCGGGAGCCCATTCATTGTTTCTTGGAGCTGCAGCTACTACCGGAATATTGGATTAATTCATTTAGTTGGCTTAATGCTTAACTCACTATTTTTATCAGTATAATTATCGGTATAAGGCTCATTGTCAGTCCAATCCCCGTTTCTTTGGCTTGCATCTAATACAGGAATATTCAATCATTAGCATCG